TGGGGATTCGAACCCGCCACCTTAGGTGTATGTGGCTGGCGCCTTAGCCGGTTGAGCTATAGGCGCCGAGCCTAAGACTGTCTTAAGAAAAAAATTTGAGCAGAAACTCACCCGTTTATAGTAGTTCTTTATCTTGGTTGCCATGCCAACCTGCATCATTAAGGGCCCATTTTCCTCACTATACTCTGCAAGAATAAGATCTCCATCTTTTCCTGTGAGGTCCTGAGGTGTGCGCATAAAAAACATCTCTCCACCACCTGAAGCTTGCCTCTCTTGTTCTCTCATCTGCCCAGAACAAAGAAAATAAACTCCAACTTCTGATAGGACACTCACTACACATACTGATGTATTCAATCTAAGACAAACACACCAAAAAAAAAAAAAAAAAAAACAATTAACTTTGCTATTGTTCAATTTCACTGGGAAAACTGAAACATACTATATAGTAAAGTTAAAATAGTACAGTCAGCCCATCCAACCAAAAATCAAAAATATTTGAAAAGAAATTTTACCTGCACTTTTTTGGGTCATTATTCCTCAAATATAACAACCATTTATATTAAGTATCATAAGTAACCTAGAGATGACTTAAACCATATAGGAGGATTATACAGATTATATGTAAATACCATGCTGTAAGGGACTTCCATTTCCAAAAATTTTGGTATCTACAGGAGGTCCTGGAACCAGTCACCCACAGATACTGAGCAATGACTGTACTATGAACACCTATTATCCTACTCACCATGTGACTGATATTTTGCTATTTTTATCTATAACCTTCCTTCTAAAGATTTTGCTGAACCATTTTTTAAAGTTGTAGTAATTATGATCCTTTACCATTAAATATTTTCACATGTACCTCCTAAGAATAAGGAAATTCTCCCAAATAAAACAACATCCTATCACATAGGATGAAATAAATACATAGGAGAGGCTGAGTACAGTAGCTCACAGCTGTAGTCCTAGCACTCTGGGAGGCTGAGCCAAGAGGCTCACTTGAGCTCAGGAGTTCAAGACCAGCCTGAGCAAGAGAAGATCCCATTGGTCTACAAAAAAATAGAAAAATTAGCTGGGTGTGGTGGTTCACACCTGTAGACTGAGCTACTCAGGAGGCTGAGGCAGCTGGATTTGCTTGAGCCCAAGGGTTTGAGGTTGCAGTGAGCTATGATGATGCCATTGCACTCTACCCACAGCAAGAGAGCAAGACTCTCTACCTCAAAAAAAATACTAAAAATAAATAAGTAGGCCGGGCATGGTAGCTCACGCCTGTTGTCCCAGCGCTGTGGGAGGCCGAGGCGGGTAGATCACCTGTGCTCAGAGGTTCGAGACCAGCCAAGACCCCCCTGAGCCAAATGAGCCAGAGTGAGACTCCATCTCTACAACAACAACAGGACAATGAGACAGCTGGACCTAGTGATCCCAGCTCCATGGGGGGGCAAGAAAACACTATAGCAGGAAGAAGTAATTAAAAAAAACCTTCAAAGTAATAAAGTTGAAATTAAAAAAAAATTTAATAAATAAGTAGAAGAAAATAAACAATTCCCTGAATATAATCCAATTTGTACCCTAGTATCTATCTTTCATTAGTTGTTTTCTTCTAACCAGAATTCAGTTATACCTTGGCCTTCTTTTTGATGTGCTTTAGTAAAGGCTGGACTGAGTGGGGACCTGGCTGAGATAATGCCCCAAAGGAGTACTTTTTCAAAGGCGGACGATGGAACTGCCGGAGTTTGATCGGTCCCATATGGGTAGGAAAGAAAGGCTGCCGTAATTCCACAGCAGGAATTGAATGCTAAAACAGGAAATATAAATATTTTTAGCATTTAAAATTAAATACTAACTCCAACATTTAAATTTAAATACTAATTAAATACTAAAATAGGTCAAGATTTACCCATATTCTCCATGAGAACAAAGCAATAGGTTTCACTCCACCACAAAAAAGATCATATTTGTACCTGGATAATATTCCCTCCAAAGGTGCCTCGAAGACCCTGTTGCTTGGGGTAGTAATACTCATCATTGGAGAGATTCCATGGATCTTTCACTTCAGGCTGAGACATGTTCTAATGATAGATCATGAAATAAACTTTAGTCAGACTACCCTTCTCCATTACCTTTCACTGCTCTAAATAGCAAGTCCCTTTTCTCTTTACAGACCTGCTGTGGTTCCTCCTTGATGACTCCTGTTTTTCCTAAGAGAATTCTACTCTTCTTCAGAGATGATTCCTTTTTACTTTCCTTGGAGGGAGAGTTAGAAGTGGCCTCTTCCTTTTCATCAGGAATTTCTGAAGATGAAACAAAAATCACTCTCAAGTTACCATCCCTGCAGATTCACCTTTCTTTTCTTTTCTTTTTTTTTTTTTTTGAGATAGAGTCTCAAGCTGTCACCCTAGGTAGAGTGCCGGGGCGTTACAGCTCACAGCAACCTCAAACTCTTGGGCTTAAGCGATTCTCTTGCCTCAGCCCCCCTCAGTAGCTAGGACTACAGGTGCCTGCCACAACGCCCAGCTATTTTTTATGTTGTTGTTGTTGCAGTTGTCATTGTTGTTTTAGCTGGCCCAGGCCGGGTTCAAACCCACCAGCCTTGGTATATGTAGCCTGTGCCCTACCCACTGAGCTATGGCACCACCAGAATCATCTTTCTTACTGTCATCTATGCAGTTCCTGAAAAGCTCTCTCATCCCACCCCAAATCAATTCTAATCCATGATTCACTCTAACTAAACTATGGTGACAATGCAGTTTCCACTTTTCCAACATACCTACATAAGTTTCCCCCTAAACAATAAAGAAATAGTACAAACTGAAAGCCACAACTCTGACTGCTAAAACTGTTACCTGGAGCTTTTAGTCTTGACGTTCTCCAACCCTTCTGACTCCCTCCTGCCCTTTGACATTACCAATAAGCTGCCAGAGTTGGAGTAGGAATACTGGCCTCTGCCAGTAACGTACCCAAAATAAGGTTTTCATCGTTGGGATCAAGTGTCAAAATAGGAGGCTCCAAAAGCCGGGGCATGGCCTGAGCGTCCCAAATAATATTGTCCTCCCAACGTCCATACACCAGCTCCTCATTGTCAATGGGAAAAATAGAGTACCAAGGTTTGTCATCATCCAGAGTGGCTGCAAAACCTAGTCAAAAACAGAAGGAAATAACAACAAATAAAACATTTATATCCCTTTCACAATCATGATTTTGGCAAGGAGCAAAAAAAAAAAA